TTGAGTATCAGATTGTTCCAACTTGTTTCCCTTTGGGATTGCTGTAGGTGATCCAGAAGTCTGTTTTTGAGGCTTGTTTACATGTCTTCTCATGTGCACGGTGGTGGTGGTGGGGTGTGCTTCTGGCGCCTGCATGACTCACTTTCTCTGCCCTAGGAGCATGGGATGGTGGCAGGGGAGCTTCCTTCCAGGTGCTGGGACCAGGTCACCTTCTCTGCCCTAGGAGCTTGGGATGGCAGCGGGAGAGCTTCCTTCTGGGTGCTGGCTGTTGTGCTGCTTTTTAAGACTAATTCATTACTGTCTCATCCCTCTTCCCTTAACTTTTAGGCAAATGCTATATGAATGAAGTCATTGAATATGTAATATTATTGGAAAATTTCACACACCTCTTTTGGAAGTTTTTTCAGCCTTAGCTACTTCTTAAACAAAATTTAAGTCATTCTGTCTTTTGTAGCTTTTAGAGACATCAATATATCCCATCCAAATATTTTAGGGTTTTCATGGTGAATCATATTACTCTACTGGCTCATGATTCATTTTTTATTTCATTTTGTTTTTAGACAAGGTCTTGCTATGTATTTTGAGGTGGCCTTGAACTCACTGTGTAGCCCAGGCTGACATCAAACTCAAGGTGAACCTCCTTCCTCAGTCTCCCCAATACTGGGATTACAGGCATGCTCCAACACAACTGGCAAGGTTTATGATTCACATTTCATAGATCTTCTTAGTCATTTACTAGTCATCGATTTTTTTAGTTTCTATATTTTGTCTTTGTCTTTTCTCCTTTTCTTTTCTCTGTAGCTGTTTTTCTTCTGAGTTTTTAACTTTCTACTAATATTTTCATAATTGTTTAAGAGAAGTTTCAGGCACACCTGTCTTTGAATAGATGAAATCAGGGTTTAATCTTACTCTTTTAGATTTTTTTACCTTTAGAAAAGGTATTCCTATTTAAATCTTATACTTTAAAGTTAAAGATTTCTGCCAGCTGTTTTTATCATTTTCTTTTCTTTTTTTAGTACTGGGAATTGAACTCAGAGCCTCACACTTGCCAAGCAGGCGCTGCGCCACTGAGCTACATCTGCAGCCCCATCATACATTTTTCATAGTGGAATTATACTTTGTCTGTAGTTTCTTTTTAGTTTTGATATTTTCCATTTTTCACACTAAATACAAATTATATTGTGTGCCTACTGATAATGCAGTGTTGGTAAAATCTATGGTGTTGATAATTTAAATAATTTTTAATTTCCTTCTATTAAAAATTAAACAATAATCACAAACATTTGAGTGTTAAGCAATGTATATGTAGCTCTAAAACTTTATTGTATTTTTCAGTACAAGCATTTGGGTTCCACTACAGCTACTGTCACTCGGAAAATTTTCCAGTTGGTTGGATTGATGAATGGTGTAAGTGTTTGCTTCTTCAATAACTTTTGCACTTGCTTGTATTATGAAAATAGTTCATTTACCTTCTTTTAGGACACTTTCTGAATATCCATGTTTTCTGTTATGTAGGGAGAGCTAAATTTTAGTTTCTTATCCATAAAGTAGGAACAATGATAATCATATATAGCTAGTTAGATTATTTTTTTAAAGGAAGGGTATCAAAGGATGAATTGAAGGAGGAGGGGGGAAAGTAGATGAAAAAGGAAGTGAGATGTGTTATGTAGATGTACCAAATTCCCACAAGAAATGTAAACATTGTGTACTACATGCATGTACTAATAAAGTAAAATAATTTAAAAATGAAAATAAAAACAAATTTGTTTGGCTGTACTGGAGGTTGGAAATTGAATGCAGAACTACATCCCCAGCCCCATCCCCTTTTTTTTGACAGGGCTTTGTTGAGTCTCCCAGGCTGGGTTTGGACTTGAAGTCCTCTTGCCTCAGCCTCCTGAAGTATTGATGTTATAGGCCTCCATCACCACATCCAACCCTACTTAGGCTACTGTAAGAATTAGATTAAATAATGCACTTGTTTTGGGGCTGGCTTAAATGCAAGCATTTTATTTTATTTTATTTTATTTTCCCATTAAATTTATTGGTCCATTTTAGGTATACAGTACAGTTACATTCATCATTGGGATCTTGTACCATTACATGAGTCTCTTGGTTCTTATTTTTCCCCCTTTCCCTGCCCTC